GGCACAGCCTTGGTTCCCATCTATGGAGCCAGGACACAGCCCTCAACTGCTGCCGAGTGCGTCTGCTATAAACACTGCAGCTGCTTCAAGGCTTCCCTGCATCCCTCAGGCCCTCCTTCCCTTCCCTCGTTTCCTTTCTTCCTCAGAAAGTCCACACAAACTCATTTAAAAACGACTAATTCCCCGTACTCTGGATTGCTGTGAGATCAAGGCCATAGCAAGACACCATCCCAAAACAAAAGGCTGATGAGAAGGTTCAGCATAAGAGCACCTACTTCCAAGCTTGCCAGCTTGAGTCCATCCCTAGAGCCCATATGGTGGAAGGAGAGAACCAGCTCTGGCTGGTTGTCTTCTGACCTCCGCATGCTTGTACCCCCCTCACACACACATACACACAAAAATAAATCAATGTAAAAAAATTAATTAAACAAAACAAAAAATGACTAGTTACATTCTTTCACAATCAAGCTTAGAAATCAATCAAAGCATGTAAAAAGTTTTTAAAGATTACATATTTAATTTATAGGCTGTGGGAGGAGCATATTTTAGAGAAAACAGACTGAGCTGAGGAAATGACTTTGGCCAGCTTGACATGGATCACTGGACTGCACACTATCTAGGTGGCTTCAGCTCTACAGTTTCAGGATTGTCCTTTGCTCAAGTGTGTCATGGTCATTCAGGAGGGCAGATGCTCTGTGTGCACTTCCCACCGGCTTCTAGTAAATAGTGGTCCTGAGTGCGACCAAACATACAGTGGTGTGAACAAGGTAAATGGGACAGGAAATCAAAAATACTGAATTTGAACCAAGTCCACCAAACAGATGTTTACACCAGCTATACGATTGGGCTGGGGATTCTGATTCCACTCTTTGATAAAGACCCTCAAACGAGTAGGAGCTGAAGAAATTTGTGAATTTTGAGTTATCCTGAAATGTCCATTAAAAGACGTAACTGCTATGTTCTCCAACTTTCCCAGCAAAGACAGAACTGACAGCTTTTGAAGACAGACTTCCTGGCCTTTTGACAGGAATAAGTGAAGAGAGGGAAGAGGGAAGAAAGGGAGGAGGTAGAGGAAGAAGGAGGCAGGCAAGCGCAAGCGTTGTCAAATTAGGTCTGTCTGGGCAGAGTCTGCCGTGAGTCACTAACTGTAGGGGTATATGCTTTCTTCTTAAAGTTTATACAGATATTAGCCCAAATCCTTATTAAATGATTTCAAGTTGAAAAGCATTTGGCATAAAATATAAAACAAATGTTAAATGTCTCCAAAGTCATATCGAACAGAAACAATTATTAGGAGCATAAACAGGATAGGGCAGGTCCTCAGATCGTTCATTCAGAATGAACTGCTGTACTGTGCTAATAGGAACCAGAGCGTTCCAAGTGAAAATATGCATTTAAAGTGACATTTAATATTGCCTCTAATGACCGCCTAATTGACCTATTGAAGTGTGATTGGCTTTCAATTTTTCCGCTGAAGAAACTAAAGAAAAAAAACGCCATTGTTGAGTATAATCAACTTGCTTACTCTCTCATCTGTATACAGCTACAAAATTCAGGTATGAAATATATTATATGGAAATTTTGCTCTCCTTGCTCTTTCTCAAAGAACTGAAAGGACAGTAGGCAATAGGCATTTTTACCAAAGAAAGACTGGTGAATACCTACTGGCTCAAACACCACCCTTTAATGGAGAATTTTCCAGGAATGGCATCCAGGAGAGCGCAATGTTAGGCAGAACTTTACAACTATGCTGTTAAAAGTCCCCAAAACTAGAGGCTTGCCCAGAGAGGGGTGGGGCTTTCTAGGCTTCTTACTCTCTAGAGTAGGTCTCAACATGCTTGTTCTTTCCACTCCACTTTGGGGTGCTTACCTCCAGGAGAGATGTAGAAACAGTTGAGTTGAGCTTCACGTACCACCTTGCCCTTGAACTTCCCCTCTGTTTCCTCAGACAGGTGACTGGAAAGCAGCTGATATGGGGGTGTAGTAGGCTGAACGAAGGCTCGAATCATTGTGAATTTCCAGTTGTACTAGTAACTTGATTTCACAACTAAACAAATGTCCCACTTGTGACCTTTTTTCCCTTGTACTTTTTTAAAATTCAGAAATGATTTCTGCAGCCACCATGAGGGCCATAAATGTTTACATACACAGCCTGTCACTCGACTGCGACTTTGGGTTAATACGTTCACGTTTAGAATTCTGAAAGCACACCTCCCTCCTTGGCTCTTCTCCGCTGCATCTTTCCACCTTTGCTGCTGTGCTGAGACTTGTGCAGGGAGAAGCCCTCCCCCACTGGCTTCACAGGAGCCCTTGGATGGAAATGTGAAGCAAATGGCTTCTGTCAGCCTGTCAGCTCATCACCTCTTGAAGACATGATGAGTTCTGGTCTTTATATATCACCACGAGCTGCTCTGGCCCAGCCTCTCGTGTGGAAGACAGATAGGACTGCGGTAGGGGTGGTAGACCCAGGGCCCACGATGCAGAAAACTTCAGCTGGAATGTGCACTTTCATGGAATTCACAGTGCAGTGCAGCTCAAGTTGCAAAACTATTTTAGGGAGAAGAAAATACAGGCCCAGTCCTACATTTTATCTTGGTGTCACTTTTCAGTGGCCAAAAGCTGTTTTTTATTCCCCTCCTCCTAGTTATTTAAACCTTATGTTCAAACTAAAATTGTTTCAAGATGATCCCATTATTATTTTTAAGGCCGTGTTGCTTCATAGATTAAATGATTGGGTCTTAAATATCTATAATGTCCTAAATAACAATGACTAACCCAGCTTTTTCCTTTGACGTTTGAAAGTTTCTGCCCCAAACCTGTGTTTTAGCATCTCATGATAATGAAGATGTCAGACCGTGTTTCTGTTTGTGTCACCAGGTTTAGCACCCTGCCCTTAGGACAGTCTAGTTCCTTATGTCAAATGCCACATATGAAGGAGAATGACATCTGAAATGTTTGTACATAGTCTGCTGGTGGGACCCACATTGTCACTTTCTCTGCCAGTGGGCCTTGTCTGGTTACATTGTGGTTTGCTCCCTTGCTGGTTTGGGAAACCCTGTCTCCAAAGAAGAAGAAAAGTTTTCATTGTGGCCAAAAGACCCAGAGCAGGCTCCTAGTATTATAACTAAGACCAAAGCAAGCAAACACATGAAAGTTGTTAGATTTATAAAGTGGTTGAGTGTCCGTGATCCAACTTGATCTCATAAGAACAAGACTGAAGGGTTGCCATGCAGGAGTCTGTAAGGAATCTTGAGTGGGGAATCATTTCTGGTGGATGGGAAGTAGCCTGGAATTTGAAGTTTCCAGAAACACAGTTAATACTCTTGAGATGCAAGAGTTGTGTTTTGGCATAAAAGTGCTCATGAAAAGCACATGGACTTGAGAACACCCATGTCCTTATTTTTCTTAGATTTGTCAGAATACTGAGGAGTTTGAGTGTGTGTGTGTGTGTGTGTGTGTGTGTGTGTGTGTGTGTGTGTTTGTGTTTCTACCTGCGAGAATAACCTGGTTCAACAAAGACTGGGGCCTTCCTCTTACTTTTCCCCTTCATAGGTAGGTAGCTGAGACAAAGATTGTGCAGACAGGCTGGAGAGATGTCCCAGTGCTTAAGAGCACTTGCTGCTTTTCCAGAGGACCCAAGTTTGGCTCCCAGCAGATCAGCTCACTGGTGCCTGCAGCTCCCATTCCAGAGGATCCAATGCCCTCTTCTGGCCTCTTCAGGCACCTGCACACATGTGGCATGCACATACACAGACACATACGTTTACATATACATAAATAAAAACAAATCTTTTTTTTAAAAAGTCTGCATACACTTGACTAGTATAAAAACAAAGATTAAACCCTCCATTTAATGTATTTTGGCAAGTTAATAATTTAGACTTATAGCACTTCTTTAAGATGCCTGCTTAAAGCAGCATTAAAAAGACACTTCCTGTACCATTTGATGTTCGAATCAGTACTGTCCTGAGGCAGAAAATTTATGTCTGGGCACTGGTGAGGTGGGTGGGGGGAAAGGTGTGTTAGAATATCTTAGCTGTCTTCATAACAAAAGAGTTGAATGTTTTGAAAGCTTAAATTTATAAATGTTTTCCTTTAAAAGTTTGTTTTTTGCTGATTTTCATTGGTCTATCATAATATTGCTGCTGTTTTCAATAAAGTTCTTTCAAATGTACATGTAGTTCATGTTTTGCTTATATGATTATTTACACAGTACCACCAGGTCCTCAACCAGATATTTACAAATGTGTTCTGCAACTGTTTTAGCCTTTGCTATGAAGGTGATAGAGCTGGGTACCCACTAAGTTTAGTACACAACTTATTTGAAAAATCGTAACTCAATCAATTGCAGTTATATTATGCCACATTTCCCTTCATTGCTAAATGACTAGGCTGTAGCCATATATAGTCTTTCAACATTTGTAAATTTTCTGAATAGACATTTTGAAATGAGATTTATTATTAAAATTTATTTTTTCTAGCTCCCTATCCTAACAGCTCACAGCCAATTTTTCAGTTAACATATTCCTGGTAGAAAAAGAGGGAGTGGGGTTTTTCAGGCATAATTTGAGCATCAGGTTTCTGAATATTTAAAAATAAAGATGAAATGTGTTTGTGAAATGTGCAAATAGAATATAGAAACAATGAAGTCTCAAGCCAAGTTTCAAAATCCTGATTTCATTTTCAGTCTGTAGTCACTTAAGGAGCACTCACCGAATGCCTGTTGAATTATGGTGCTGCACTTTTAACAAAAGCAGACTTCACTGGTTTCGTGTGTGAATGTGGATGTGTGTGTACAAAATCACCAAGATTTCCAATGTTAGATTTTTAAGTTTTGACTCCAGTGACTGGTTTCATTTATTTACTAATTCATTGAATTAACTCATTCACTACCTAAAATCTTCTAAATTCTTAAGTATTTTCCTCCAGGATGAAAGGGAATTTCTTTACATTGTGTGATTTTAAAGATACTCATAACTTGTTCTGTGTTTCATTTCCAGTGTCCATTTATGGGATTTGGTTTTATGATAAGGAAGAATGCCAAAGAATTGCAGAACTTATGAAACAGTAAGTGCCAAAAGGCTAAGTATTTTTCAGGACCTGGTGCTTTTGTTTGTATTTCTAGGTGTGTAAAGCAATGCTGACCATAACAGGAAGCATTTCACAGCCAGCATCTTCAGTTGATCAGGAAACACCTGATACCACTTATAAATACAACAGCGTAAGCAATGGCTGGCCATACTTTCTCTAGGTCTGCCCTCTGTTTTGCCCCACATAATGCGAGCCATTCCAGATGGCAGTTTTCTGTGGTATTGTCTTCATTTGTAAATAAGCAGTTTTTGCTCTGAAAAGTTGTGTGCCCTTCAGTGAAAAGAACGTGCAGAACCAGCCTGAAAAGCTGCTCCGGCTCCTCCAGAGCCCTCTGCTTCCTTTATGCCCTTTCTAAAAAGCTTTCCTTTTTAACTGTGAGTGTTCTGAGCTCAGAATTCCCTATGCCTCAAAAGCCAAGTGTTTAGGATAATCTTTGTCCCCATCTCTGGACATATCAGTTCATGATCAGAGCTCTCTCTCTCTCTTTCCCTCTCCCTCTCCCTCTCCCTCTCCCTCTATCTATCTTACACACACACACACACATACACACACACACACACACACACATGTGCGAGCTATTTATTTCTCTTAACGTTCTGATACCTGTGCTTAGCCCATTCTGCTTCTGGGAAACTTCTGCGTTGCTGTCTGGCTTTCCTACTCTTGGCTCCCCTGGTTCATCAGGAGGAGGCCCAGGTAAGGCTGGTGAACTGTAACCAGTTCTAGGCTTGGCTGCTCGCTATGAGCCAGTCAGTATTTTCCCTGCTATTTATGGAAATGGCCAAGAGCCTCAGAACGAAGTGAGTTTCCTACCCATGCTGGGTCTCAGCCCTGGACAGCTGCTCCCTGAGTGGGTATGATGCCACAGTCCTGTCTACAAAGAACCCATTTCCATTTCTAAATCCAGGGGCAGTGATATGAAAAAGTGACCCCCAACAGAATGAAAACTGGGAGCACATTTTTATAAATAAAATTGACTCCTGAAAATCTCGCTTGCAAGAGCTAATTTTAGACAACTAGCTCAAGTCACAGATGGTGATTAAGTGTGCTCAAACTGGTATTTACCACCATAACAACTAATTCCTAGAACATTTCATGTTATCGTAATTGTGCAGGGGATGATAATACCAGGATCTCATGTGGATTAAAAAATACCCTGTGGCTCAGCCAAGAGGTCATGGTAAACCTGTTAGCATTCTGCAATAATTGCTTAATAACTTGGGCAGGAAATTGATTATTACTAGCAATGAGCAGCTGATTTGTATGGATTCTGATCCCTTTCCTAGTTAGAATAAAACCTCTCAGTAACTTCTCGGGTCTTATTTTACCATTAACTTTGTGTATTAATAAAAGTATTTGAGCTGAAATTCAAAGGTGTTTTTCTTGATGTTTCCTTGCAGCATGTAGGATAATGTGAGCAGAGTTAGGATGGAGCCTTCACTGTATCTCTAAACTGTCAGAGAACTGCAGGGATTGAGCTGGTACAGTCAACCTTGCTTGACCTCAAGGCATTCAGGAATGAAGAGAATCTGTGCATTCTGTTCATCCCTGCTTGAGCATTCAAATAGGGCCTCCTCCACAGTCAGTCACAGCCACTAGGCCCTGCTGCTGTTGTGTACACGCAGCCATGGTTGAGACCACCACCGATGAGCAGGGCTGCGTTTGTTACCCTCTTTACAAAAACAGCTGGGGCAGGATTGGGTCCACAGATCCCAGCTTTCTGACTCCTCCTCTGGACTCACATATGTGACCCATTGACTCAAGACTTCATTCCTCACTTTCTGTCTTAAGTGCCTAAGCAGTCTGTTCCTAAGATGGTTATAGTAGAAAGGAAACACTTGAGTGAGAACTGGGGCCATTGACTTTGACTTGATTTTCTTGATGTGCATCTCCCCTTGTTTCTAGCCTAACTGAGTATGAACAGTTGAAAGCTTGTCATGGAGCAGGAGCAGGACCTTCCCCAGTGACCCTCAGTTCAGGAGACGGCCGAGAAGTAGATATCTTACAGATGCTCACCAAGGCCAAAGATGAGTACACGAAGGTGAGTCTGCCCTTTCTTTTGATAGTACTTACCCCAGCAAGATCCTCACTGAGAAAGATGTTAGGCTCTTCTAAACAAAAGAGGATAAAATCAAAATCTATTTGCTTTTAGTAGGCTCTTTACTTTAAACTAAATTAAAAGGTAGCCTAAGAAATCTATAGCCTTCATACAAACAAACAGTATCCAGTTAGAAGACTTACAGTGACAACAAATTACATAAAAAATCCTTTCCCACCAAATTCATGTCAGTATGGTTGGTTCAGGCCTGTAATCCCAGCAAGAGGAGGGCAAGTTCCAGACCTTATCTCAAAAATTAAAGCATGGATCCTGGCAAAAATGGCTCAGTGAATAGAGGCACCTGCCACCAAATTTGATGACCTATTTGATCTTCAGGACCCATAGAGTGGAAGGAGAGAACCAACTCTGACAAGTTGTCTTCTTCTGACCTCCACACATGCACTGTGGTACTCCCCTCAGCCCCCCACATACATAATAAATAAAATATAAACTTTAAATGTAAAACAAAAAGCATTAGAGACTTGAACAAATGGAAATATATGTCCTGTTCATGGATAAAGAATAAGAACCTGATGCCCTCTTCTGGTCCCTAAGGGCACAAGCACATACCCCTACACAGACACACAGACACTCACATAATTAAAATAATAATAAACAGCTGGGTGTGGTGGCGCACGCCTTTAATCCCATCACTTGGGAGGCAGAGGCAGGTGGATCTCTGTGAGTTCAAGCCCAGCCTGGTCTACAAAGCGAGTTCCAGGCCAGCTGGGGCTACAGAGAGACCCTGTCTCAAAAAGACCAAAAAAAGGAAAAAAAAGAATAAGAAGATTGAATGTAAAGTTGTCAGCTCTCCTTTACTCTCTAAATTTAAGCTGATCCTTAAATAAATGCCACTGATTTCTTTCCTCCTTCTCTTTCTTTTCCCGAAGCAGATAAGTTGATTGTAAGGTTCATGAGGAGAAATAGCCAAGAAAGAATAGCTACAAGATCCCTGTTAAAAAAATTTTTTTAAAAACCAGCAATATTGACAGGGGGCCATGAGGTATTCATCTATAAATAGCCAGGTAGGCTGATGGGATAGATGGGAAACCAGAATTAGATGCAATCATAGATGAAACTCATAATATGATAAAGTAACTATTTCAAATCAGTTATGTGAATGCATTGTTATGTAAATGGTGTTGAAGTAACAGGTACCCATTTGATAAAATACCAAATTCGTGTCATACCTCAAGCCATGTACCAGGATAAATCCCAAATGCATTAGAAAAAATTAGAAGAGCGTTTACGTGGATCTCTTTGCAGTCTAGGAAAAAGGAAATCTTCCTAGCTGCACCTTAAAATCTCAAACCACTTAATTTCAAATACATAAAACATAAGTGAACATTTGGCGAGGTTTGAAAAAAATAGAAGCAGGTGAAGTGTTTAACTAAGAAGGAATATTCACACCTAAAATTCAGGAAATGGGTTAGATCCCCAAAAATTGATTTATGAAAGATTATGATTCTCTGAACAAAAAAGTAAAATTAAATTAATAAAAAATAAAATAAGAATCTTAGAATTTGGAAACTAGGTAAAAACTAAGAGTATATAACTGAATATCATATGATATAACTACTTAGAAAAATCATGACTGAATCATAATGTTGAACTGAACAGTCTTAGTAGATCGTACGTTAAGGATAAAAGAACTAAAAGAAATTATAAAGTTAATTAAATGACTTTATTAATAGAAATATTGGCCTCAAAATTTTCAGATGTCATAGATATAATAAATAAATTATGTCGGGGCTGGAGAGATGGCTGAGCAGTTAAGAACACTGACTGTTCTTGCAGAAGACCCAGAACGGGGATCCGACAGCCTCTTTTGACCTCTGTGGGCATTGCACAACACAGGTGCACTTAACTACATGCAGGCAATACACTCATACACATAAAATAAAAATAATAAATAAAATTTTAAAAAAAAAGAAATTATGTTGATGAGGCCAGAACTAAAACCTCAGTATAAACAGAAGAAAAAAAATCAAAACTGCATATTAAGTACTAAATGGAGATAGCAGAATTACTTCATGTTTTTGTTTCTTTTCTGATGGGGAGGTAGTATTTTTGAGACAGGGTCTCCCTATAGCCCCAGCTGACCTGGAACTCACTATGGAGACCAGGCTGGCCTCTATCTCACAGAGATCTGCGTGCCTTTGCCTCCCAAGAGCTGGGATTAAAGGCATGTGCCGCCAAGCCCAAAATATGTTTTGTTCTTTAATTATGGGAACAGAAACAGAAAGTGGTGGCCCATGCCTTTAATCCCAGCACGTAGGAGTCAGAGGCAGGTGGATCTCTGTGAGATCCAGGCCAGCTGGGACTACAGGGAGACTCTGAAAGAAAATTCCTAACTCTTTCCCTGAAAAGACTTAGAAATGCATGATACCCCAGTAGCAATAATCCCCTCCACTGCCCAGATTGATTTTCAAGCTGTCATTTCCTTCTGAAAGATAACAGGGCTCCTTGAAGAAATTTCTGACTGCAGGTCTCAACACCAAATGAATAGGATCCTATGCAATGAACACTATAACCAGCTTACAAGACAGTGGATCAGAATACCCCAGCAATGCATTTTAATTGTGTGTGTGTGCGTGTGTGTGTGTGTGTGTGTGTGTGTGTGTGTGTCTAAATGAGGGTGCTCATGAGCCATGGTATGCATGTGGAAGTCAGAGGACAATGGACAATGTCAGGAGTGAGTTCTCTCCTCACCATGTGGGTTCCAGGGAACAGACTCTGGTTCTAGGGTGCAGACTCAGGTCGTCAGGCTTGTGCTACAAGCACCTTTTTTTACCTGTTGACCATGTCAACCTGACATTGGTAAGAGGAGTGAATTAAGCATTTTTACTGCCTGCCCTGAAAGGATCATATTTCAGAATAACCAAGCAGCCCTTGTCAGTGAGGGAAGGTTCTTCTCTACCCAAACCCTCCAGATATTAGGTAGAAAGAGAATGACAGAACGTAAAACATGCTGGTAAATGACTGATTCCAGCAGGAACACCTAGTGATGCTACTTTGGTATGTAAGGTTGATGGAAACTTGATCTTGGAAGGACCAGGCTGCCACCCCCTGCAACCTGACTGCTCAGCAGCACCTCAAGTTGGGCAGCCAGACATTCTGACCTCCCAGTAAGATGAGACATAGAGCAATGCACATCACCTTGAGGTATTATTGCCAGATTTACTCTGGAATCACAGCAAGCCATAAGCTCCAACTCTCTAGTTTATAGACAGTGAAACTCCTCGTCTAGTCAGAGTCTCCACACATAACAAGTAAAGCTGCCGAGTGGATGAAGCATGAATACAGTAAGCCCCAGTTTGGGTCAGAGGTACCTCATTCCTAACTTCAGACAGTAACAGCTATTTCTGGGTTTCTTTTCCTGTTTTCTTTTTAAAAAATATTTTTATTTATTATTTTCATTTTATGTGTATGAGTATATGAGCATGTATGTGAGTGCATCTGTGTCATGCAGTGCTGCGGAGGTCAGAAGAGGCTTCGGATTCCCCTGGAACTGGAGTTAAGGACGGTTCGTAGCCACCATTTGGGTGCTGGGAATCAAACCCGGGTCCTATACAAGAGCAGTCAGTGCTCTTAACCACTGAACCATCTCTCCGGCCCTATTTCTGGGTTTCTTAATTCTCCGAAAGTCACCAAAAAGTATCCTAATGATTGGTCATACCTTATAAATTGTATTGTATTAGGCACATCAGAGGTTTTTTTAAAAAAAATGATTGTTTGTTGTTGTTGTTTGTTTTGGAGTAGGGGAGTGAGTTGAGACAGGGTCTCCCTATAACTCCAGGCGGCCTGGAACTTGCTATGTAGACCAGTTTGGCCTTGATCTCACAGAGATCTTCCGGTCTCTGCCTCCCAAGTGCTGGGACTAAAGGTGCGCACTAGTCATACTTAACCACTGAGCTACTTCCTTGGCCCCTCACAGCCTGGCCAGTTCTAGCAGACAGCAACAGGTTAAGCTAGATACTCAGGCTAGCCCAGCCTGCCGCACTTCTCATCTCAGATCACACACTCCAGGCAGCAACAGTTCTCTGCCTTACCAAGGCCAGGTACCTGCCACTGGGCTTCTGACAGTACCTGCAAGCCTTGTAGCCTGTACTCCCACTAGCCAGCCCTAAACTTTCCTTTTCCTGACTCCTGACCACCCTGTAACTACCATGTGTGGCCTGTGTAGTAAGGACATCTGAGTACTATGAACTTTGCTTCTCTAGAGCCTCTCTGTCCTGGGTGGCCCCTCCCAGCTGACCATCACACTGGCACCCTCAGAAACACACAGTATTGGTGACTGAATTCAAGGCATTAGTAGCATCGTGTTACTGATCAAGTTGACTTCCCTGTACATCCTTCTTGGTTTGTCATTGCCTGGTGTGTGAACTTGGACTCTTCAGGCCCTCCATCACGTGATCTCGGAGTATTCTACAGATACATGAAGCTGCCAGAGTCACAATTTTACTCCTTGAAGGCTTCCTGCCTTTGCTCACGCTTTTCCCGCCCCTTCTCCACCAATCCATGTACAACCAGTCTTTCAAGAACCTCCCTAGCTAGACTTCGATGCTCTCCTGCTAGCGTTTGTCATATTCTAGAACCCTTCTTCCATCTTTGTTGACCCCTCTAGTGCATGGAGGCATTTTAGACCATGTTCAGGCCATCAGTAAAGTGGGTCTAGTGTGAAGAAGTGGGAAATGGAAACTTAAGAACAAGCTCAAGATTTTTTCCCTCTGAGTTCTTAAGAAGTGAGTGTCCATTTTTGGAAGTGTTTAAGAAGAGGTTACATAGTGGAGATGTTATGAAAGAATTTCATGCTTCTTGATAAGAATTAAACCAAGAGTTCTGAGGGTCTTTCTGGTTCTAGAATCAGGATTGGGGTTCAATTTTATTTTTTAAATGATTTTGTTATTTTTAAATTTTAATTGAAAAATAAAATTTGTATATATTAGGGTCTACAAGAGGATATTTTGATACATGTATACAGTGGAATGGCAAAAGCCGATTAACATATTGATTCACATACTTAGCATTTTGTGGTGAGAACACTTAAAATGTACTCTCAGCAAGTCTCACATATACAGTCTACTATTAACTGTAGTCACTGTGATGAACAATGACTTTAATCACTCCTCCTGTCTGCTGTCTTTTGAAGAGCATCTCCACAATACTCTGTTCCCCAAGCCATCTTCTCTTTGCTTTTATGAGTACCCCTTTTTAAAATTCCACATATAAGTAATGTCATGTAATATTTGTCTTTCTGTAGCTGATTTATTTCTCTTAACATATTATCCCCTTGTTTTTTCTATGTGATAACAAATGACAGGATTACATTGTTCTTTTTTGAAAACTGAATGATATCCATGTATGTGTGTCTTTATCCATTCGTCCATCAATGCATTTACTTCCTTAACTTGGCTGTTGTAAATAGTGCTGCAGTGAACATGGAAGTGCAGATGTCTCTTTGACATAATGATTTTATATTCTCCAGTTGTATACCCAGAAATGGAACTGCTAGATCTTTTGGTAGTTCTATTTTGATTTTTGAGGCACTTCTGTACTATTTTCTGCTAATTAGCTTACTACCAGTACTGTACTACGATTCCCTTTTCTCCACATCCTCACCAACTGGAGTGAGGTAATGCCTCTTTAGGACTTTGATTTGTATTTTCCTAATGATTAGGGTTGTCAGTTTGAGGCCAGCCTTGAGCTATGTAGTGAGACTCTGTCTCGAAAACAAAAGAAATCCAAGGATTCGGCCTGTAGTGAGTGGAGAAGCTAACTCTTGGCCTGTAGGGAAGGTAGAAAACATTTTTCCTTTTCTTGAACTTCAATGTCCGTGAGCATAAAAATTAAAGTACAGTAAGAGTCATTGCTTACTGTAAAGAAAGCACCCGCTTTTTTTAAAGTAGCAATAGGGAGGTTAAAGATCCTTTATGCATCTACTTCATAAGTCACCATCTGTGGTGGTTTGAATCAGGAACGTCCCCCATAGGCCCCAGGTATTTGAACACTTGGCCCCAGTTGGTGGCCCTGTTTGCAGAGGTTTAGGAGGTGCTGCCTGGCTCTAGAGGAAGCTCGTCACTGGAGATGGACTTTGAGAGTATGTTGCTTGCCCACTTCCAGTCAGTCTCTCTGCTTCCTGTGTCTCCTTAAAGGTAGGAGCTTTCGACTTTCTCATCCAGCCATGTCTGCCACCATGCCTTCCCAACATGATGGACTCTTAGGCCTCTGGGCAACAGAAAAGTAACTAGTATACCATCATTCCCTTGAGAAGAATGTAAAAATAGCACTTTATAGTAGAAAAAAGCAATTCCACACCCCATTCAATACTAATGCCTGGTGGCCAAAATATTGACAGAATTCTTGGAAGAGTGCAGTTATTCTTTTGCATGATTGACCTTACAAACATAGGTGCATACAGTAGTAACCAACCCCATCCTGTGTCCTCGAAGTACAGGATATGCCCCAATAGCTGGAAAACTCCTTGAGAACTGTGGGTTCTGAGGCACGGGAGGATGCCCATTGCTTATGCCCCGTCAGATGCAGTGAAAGAATTTTCAGGCCTTGAGGCTTTGACTGTACAGCTGAAACAAATGCTCCAGAATCTGTAACACACAGGTCGCTTTTATATTGTTTTCTTTGGTGTTTTAACAAAATGAACCCCAGCATCATTGCCCAGATCTTTTGTTAAGAATCCTACCATGTTAGCAACTGCATGGTTGGTTAGATTAATGAATGATAATGAGTCAGTAGTTGAAATGATGAGTCTTGTATCATCTGTTTATGAAAGTCTAATTTGTAGTGAGTGGATCAGAACAGTTTGTTTAAATTATTCTGTTTATGCAAGAAGTCATTTATTAAATAAAGATGAGGTTAGCAATTTTTAAATCAGTGGTTTGAGCCAGGTTCACATTTTGGTTTGTAGACCAAAAAGGTGTAGTTGCTTTAATTAGATGAAATATTTTTAGCAACTCTCCCTACTCTAGTTCAGATGTGTTATTTTATATTGTTTGACATTGAAACTTATTAAGCTACTTGTTTTTAAATCACTCCTTCCTAAGCAAACATATAGCCTTTATATTATCCAAGAGCTTGTGGGTCCTCCAGGTGAACTTAGGTTGGTGGTAGTATTTTAGGGCACTGATTTACACAAATAAGAAAAATTAAATTTGTAAATGACTTCTACCCATCAGAAAAGTAAAAGGGATTATCCTTCATGTACAAAAACTTACTTAACAAATAGCCACCTACCAATTAGATAAGAAAGGGTGTTCTTTTAAAAACACTAAATATTCTATTATTTACATCAAAATGAAGTATTTGGGGTTTTTTTCCATTTTAGTGTAAAACCTGTTCTGAGCCCAAACAGATGACCAGTTCTGCCATCTATGACAATCCCAATCTTATCAAACCAATCCCCGTGAAACCCAGTGACAACCAGCAGCAGCGACGACCTCTGCCCAGAAAGGTATGGATCCTCTGCTTTTTATCTTTGTGGCCTCTCTAAGATTCTTGAAGAGCTTTACTCAGGTGCTGCAGGGCAGGCCTGGTACTGTTGAGGGATGCTGAAGGTCAGTCTGAGAAAGGCAGGTTTCAGGTCAAAGAATACTGCACTATTGTTAATTTGCTCTTCCTCTACGAGAGCTGAATTTGCCACACGCTGCGTTCATGGCCCATGAGCCGGAACTCATTAGAAAAATCATATATTTTAAAATCAATACATGTTGCTGACATTGTCAGAGGCTACAGAAATATTACCCACTGGGTCTGTAATCTTCTGGGGTAGGTGGCTTCCAAGGCCACTAGCGAAGCCGCCACCATAGCAACACAATGAAATGTGACATTTCTGAGTACCTCTCTCTACTGGGAGCAATGCCAGGTACTGGGTGTTCAGCCTGGGGTACCTACTGTGGATTAGTTTGGAAGCAGGGAGCCCCCACTCTGGCCGTGTGTATATTCTGTGCTATTCAGAACAGTACAGTGCAAAACTTGCTGACTTTCAGGGCCCATTATTGATTGTTGAGGTAATGGCCTGTTATTTTATCATAGTTATTCCTAATTAAAGAGGTCTTTTTCAAGGAATTAGTTAAAATCAGTTCTGAAATTGAATGTGAACCAAATGACATAAAATGGCTAACTAATGAAAGTCTTGTATTGAATTTTTCAACAAAAGAAATACTTTCTAATTTAGTTTAGCTTTTTATTGCTTTTCATGAGAGTTATTTTATTTGAGTAAAGAAGCCAAAATATATTAACTTGAGAGTAGAGCTTGGGTTTTCAAGCAGGAGGTGGCAGAAAGAGGTAGAGCCCACACGGGGTAGGAGGGAAGAGCTGTAAGTGGCTGGGCCAAAGCAGATCTGCCTGCTAATTTTAAAGTCACTGATATGTAGGTGAAAAGATCAAGTTAGATTCAATTACTCATTTGTTTCCAGCTCTAACTTTCAATCATTCTGTAAAAAGCTATCAGGAACCTAAAAATTACTTTATTCTATTTATTTTCAGTACATCTTGTACTCAGCAACCCTTAAAGAGCCTTTGGTGTAGAGAGGGATTACCTTGCAATATACCTTGGAGTATAATTTTTACCCTCATCTGTGAACTGCAGACCCCTCCAGGGTCGCATGTTTTATCAATTGACCAGATACCACAATATAACTACCACCGTGGGGACTAGGAGAAGAGAATGCTGTGAAAATATTTGACATTTAAAAATCGGGCTTTTCACTGGGTGAGGTGTCACACACCTTTAATCCCATCACTCAGGAGGCAGAGGCAGGCAGATCTCTGTAAATTCCAGGTCAGCCTGGTCTACATAGTGAGTTCTAGGCCGGCTGGGCGCTGGGGCTACAGAAAGACCCTGTCTCAAAAACACACACACACACACACACACACACAAGTCAGGTTTTTCCAGCTAGGTATGGTGGCGCACTCCTTTAATCCCAGCACTTGGGAGGTAGAGGCAGACAGATCTTTGTGAGTTTAAGGCCAGCCTGGTCTGCATAGTGAGTTCCAGGACAGCTGGGGCTACATAATTAAAAAATAAATTAAAAATCTGGCTTTTCAAATTCATAACTTTCTCACCTTTCTCGTTGGTCTTTTGTAAAAGAAGCCATCAGATATTTTGTTCCATAGCTCTCCCCCTCGTAACCAAATTGTATGTTAACCCATTTGGGGGTATCATTTTTTTTCCAGACCTTAGACCCTGAGCCCCAACACTTATCTTTGACAGCTCTATTTGGAAAGAAAGACCAAGTTCCCTGTCAAGAGACGGTGACGCCCCCTCGGATTCTCTACCAGCAGCAGCAAGAGAAGCTTTCAGTTCATCAGGGGGTTAAATGCTCCTTGTCCCATGAAGAACCCAGAAAGCTCTCACCCCCTGTAGAGAAGCAACTCTGCCCAGCCATCCAGAAACTCATGGTCAGGAGCGCAAAGCTGCACCCCGAACAGCAGCCCTGTGAAAGAGGCAGTCCTAATCCTACAGTTCTTCCCGGACCCATCCAGCCGGGTTCCCTCTGGAACATTAGAACTTCGAACTCTTCACAAAGTGCATGCAGAACCCAGAAGCTGTTAGAGCAGCTCCAGAGCGCCTCCAGGACAGCACAGAAGTACAACCCCAGTGCAGCAGCACCTGTCAGCCCTGCTGTCCCCAGCAGCAGCCTCATCCTCTCTGCTGCCACTCAAGTGGCCCCAGTCCAAAGTGTGGCCCAGTCCCAGCTGGTCTATGTCAATGGCCACCTTCCACCTCCTACACTAGGACATCAGACTCTCAGGAAGGAGCAGTGCACACTACCCAGACAGGCCCTGCCCCTGCCTGGCAGCCAGGAGAGCAGCCCCACGGTGCTCCCTGCTCAGGAGCTACTGAGAAAGCTCCAGGCAGTGCAGCAGGAACAGCAGTTGCAAGCGGCCCCCCGGCCAGCCTTGGCAGCCAAGTTCCCTGTGTCAGCCCAGGGCTCAGGGACAGAGAAGCCCTTGGAGGCCTGGGTCAGCAAGCCAGCCAGCAAGGAGAAGCAGGCTCCTCTTCTGCAGGTAAATATCTACTGGGAAAAGCTACTATAGTAATGCGGTGGAATGTGCCGTTAGCTTCTGTGCCACATGGAACATGAGTCACATACATTTCTATTTACAACGGGTGCCCAGAGCCTCCCCTGTGCATTTCTTTACCCTTCACCTTGCCTTTCTGCCTGGAAAGAGAAGTTTCCCTTTGCTTAGCAGTCTGGAGCTCCCCTACCTGCTAGAAGTAGCTTAATTGACCATGGAAACCTACGGAGTCTGCTCTGACTTCTGGCTGCTTCTTGGTTTTCCTTCTGTGGTTGATTATTGCTTTGCTCATTGGTTTAGTGAATGATTTTGAGTGCTTCCTTTGTGTTGGGCTGGCACTTTGCTACACAGTAGTAGAGAAAGCAGGCTCCATACATCTGCAGCCTACAATCCTGTGGCTCTTGAGGTCAACAGAAACAAACATGAAAGATAGGGCTGCTTTTATTGCTTTCTAGATGATCAATATCATGAAGACCAGTCAGGGACACGTATACCACCACAGACTGCCAGAGAGCAGGACGTAGTGTCATCTCTAGAAATAGTGCGTCCTTCTGGGATGATGCTCTGTCTCCATCAGGAATTGAGACAGTGAGAGAGCCAGAAGCTGTTGGTCATCTGCCTGTGCTGACAGCGGAGGTCTGACCAGGTCTGTTTCCTTTTGGACTGACACAGTGTCAGTGAAAGTATGCTGGGGTTAAAGATCAGAAAGTTCTTCCTACTGCTGCATAGATTACCATTGGTCTTTTTGATGTGTTTTGTCACATAGCTTAAACAGGTCCTCAGAAATCACTCACTTTTTAAGAGCAAATGCCTGGGCACATCTGTGTATTCGTGTGTGAACCCAAGCCAAGGTGCTCTTTTCTATTAAAGTAGCAGGTGCGAGTGCCTCCCACCGCAGAACAAACACTTGGCCTTTCATTTTCACTCGCATCTGTGATGCAGTATTGACCCCCTTTAAAAGTGTCCGCTTTGATGATTTAGAATCTGAAAATCTGGGTTAACTGTCAGACTTAAACTTCCTCACATATAATTCTTTTTTGTTTTTAGTACTCACAAATGTCAGGAACCAAATAAGGAAAGTGTACATTCTGGCAGCCCACACTGTGCTCTTCCTAATGCTGGGACTCCTCCCTTGGGAAGCGTCAGCTCTCAACACCTCTCCTCAGGCTACAAAGAGGGAAAGCTAAAAGAAACAACAGCCTGTCTTCCTCTAGGCCATTTTCTGCCCCCGAAGATGCCAAGGGAGTGATGATAAAATTATAGCCACTTTAAATTGCCACTGCTTTGCTTCCTTCTCGTGAGTTTTGGAGTCTTTGAAACTGAGAAATAGTCCTCCTTTTTCTTACCTGAGGTAGAGATACAAGGTGGCTGTAGCAGTCAGCCAGAGCCAGCTCAGAATGTCACTTGCATGGCTGGGAAAACCACTGGAAAACTTAGTTTTAGACCTGTCAGCCAAGTGAATTATGTAGACTCACCCTACATGTGGGTCACAGTATACCAAGCTCCAGGTAACCCAGAGTTTGTCCCCATCCCATGATCCATCCCACTCCCTCATCCAGCCCCCACCCCCATGCCAGCCAGGAAAAGCAGAAGACATGCTCCCGGTAGATAGGCAGACCCCTCAGAGAAGGGGCAAACCCACAAATCTCAGTTCCTCTAGTGACAGGGAGAGAGACAGCAGAGGTGTGATGACACACAGAGGTGTGATGTTCACTGTCTCCTTGAAATGCCCAGGTTGGGAGCTGTTCTTGGACCTCACAAGCATATGCAGCCACTCCCAAGGGTGATGGGGCCGTAGGTCAGAGCAGTAGACGGCTAGTGCTGTGTAAAGCTAGCTGTCCTGAATGCATGTTGCCAAATCATAAAGAGAAGCCTGAAAAATAAAGTCTTACCCAGAGGCCAAGCTTCATGTACAGAGGCTGTGGAAGTCCACAGATTGTTTAGAGCTATTAGTAACTACGAAGGAAAACATTTGAGGGTGGAGCAGGAATGTGTCAGCTTTTCCCACCCAGGGGATCTGGAAGGGATTTCCACCCGGCACCCCTCTACCACCTCTTTGAGAGCAGGGCCTCTCCGGAGCTTGTGTTTCATGAGTTGCTCCCTAACTCTGCCTGTGTGCATGTCTTTGCTGTAAGCAGGTCGTCTAGTCTCAATGTATCCCTGCTCCAATGGCTCCTCTGCTCATACCCCTGTGGTTTTCACACAGCCTACCTGTGCCCCGCTGAGGGAAACTGACAGTAGGCTCATGGCCCTGGGAGACCAGAAACTGCCTGCTGCTTCCCCCAGCTGCCTCCTGCCTTTGCAGAACTGGGAGTCCTCCACTATGGCCAGCAGGCCCCTCACCAGGCTGCAGCTCCAGGAGGCACTGCTGAACCTCATTCAGGTAAGACCAGTCAGCCTACTGGTGGTCACCGTGACAGACTATTAGCTAATGCCTGCTTCAGAATGTGTAGAGTAACAACTCCCCCATGCCTAGCAGCTTCTGAACCCAGTAAACTGGATGATATTTAGAATACTAATCATAATCTCAGATGTCTCAGCCCATCAAGGGGTTTGTAACTCGGAGAACTGACTAAGGCCCCAAGCTGCCAAAAGAGAAGGAAGCATGTGTTGATGGCAAAAATTACATCTCTTTTCCTGACGCATGAGAATGATGCTGTGTAGTATAGAGAGGGAATAAAGGGGAGATTTGAAATGTAGGTAACTTTACTGGACTGGGGGGACAGGGAGTAGTGAACCATGAAAATTACCGATTAGACCCCAGGGTTCTCTCTTAGCCTCAGCAGAAGAACTCAGAGACTACCAGTCTGTGGCTATACATTTGCCGAAGCCACAAATTTTCCATAGCTCATGGGGAGAATCATGCTGGCTTTGGTAAGGTACCAATGAACCATGCCCAATTAATTAATGCCCAAAACAAGGTATACACATTGTGGGCAACTTGGAGGATTTTTAGGAACTACCAGCAAACTCCTAAGCCATTGGCTGAAGTGCTGTAGCTTTGGTCATTCCTCCTGACCCATCCTTCACACAGCAAAGCTGGCTTCCTTGTGCCTGGGTTGCCTATCTGGGTTGAGTGTTGTGAGTTCACATACTGACTGTGAAATCCAGCAGCTCTGTCCCAGCCTTGGCTCCAGCCCCGTAGCATCCCTGCACACAGGCAAACCCCACCAGCTGTCAGCACAAACCAGAGGTAAGCTGCTTAGCACCAAACCCAGTTCAACTCCAGGCCTTGGCTTCTCCACTCAAGTAACGGTCCCCGGGGCCTGTTGGCCTTGTTTTCCAGAATGACGACAATTTCTTAAGCATAATCTACGAAACATATCTCTTCAGTGTGACACAAGCAGCCATGAGAAAAACCACATAACTACAGGAGCGTAAAGCTTTGGACTGATCTCCCAGCTCCTTCCATGTGAAGTGCTGTGACCAGACACATTTCTGCCTTTTTAACAAACTATAGTAATATGAAATAAAATGATTTTGTACAGTTAAGTATCTTTTGTGCGTGTGTGTGGTTTGTTGTTGTTATGTTTTTTAAGAATCCCATCCTGTATTCTTGGTACTAAGAACTGAATAGGTAGAAAGCTTTTGCTCAGGTCACACAGTGAATGCCAAATTAATTTTTTTCTCATATTTATGAGGCCATTTTAAGGAGAATCAGGCTATTCATGGGAAGGGATGTTCTCAGAACTGTTTATTAATAGCTCAGGGTATTGAGAGCAAGTTTTCTCATGCTGGGCTTTGTATGCTGTCATGCCTAATAACCACCAGAGGGCAGTACCACCCCACAAGTTGCCTACTAAGGGTTTCGTGGGCTTTTGGAAGCAACAAGGGCTTTCTTTTCCCACCGTCAGCCTTTTATTTGTAAAGTTCCATTTGGCATGTTTGATCTGAGCCTTTGTAGGGAGACTCTTTCTTAAGGCATTCATAGCTAGGTTCTAGAAAATGGTGGTTCTGAGTGTCAACACTTGTCCTTTCTCAGTTCATGTTACTGCTTTTGGACCCAAACAGCAGGACCTACCTGCCCATGCATTCAAATAGACACTCACTTTTAGCAAAATATGGTGAAGGGGAAGGCAACAGGTTCAGGACAGGAGGGCTAAGATTCTCCAAGTTCTGCAGCAGACCTATTTCAATGTCACTGTTCAAAGGGGTGGGGAGCTTAATCCCAGAAAGAGGTAGAAAAGCCTGTGAGGCCCTGCAGGTCCCAGAGGGGGTGTGGGGGGATTAGCCCCTGCTGCATTGGCGGTGAACAAAGCTTTGTGTTCCTAAGGGCCTGTTTGTTCTTGGACTACAAAACGGTCTGTAGATGACTGCTCAGTGAACAATTTTATTCTTCTTATGGAGAACTTTTACTTAGGGAAAAAGATAGGTTTCCTTACAGCTTCTGATACCTGGACTTGGACTTGAGACTTTCCACCTCTGTTGACCCCTAATGTCAGCAAAGGTTCTGCTAGAGCCCCGGCTCTCATCCCCTGCAGGGGGCACTCTTTTCCCTAAGGAGGAAAGGTGGACTGAGGAGTTGACTCTCCCTGATCTACATTGCATTGACCAGTGTCTACTGTGTTGTCCTCCACTTTAGGAAGGGATGAGTGCTGTTTGATGCCTCCCACATCATCCAGTATTGCTATGACCTCATGTGAATCTCTCAAATACCTGACATTAAGAATTACATGTGTCTCTATATTCTTATGAGGAGAATGAGGCAAGAAGAGAGCTATATGGATCTGTTGTCTCCAAATCAGTGATAACAGCATCACTTTGGCAATACAGCTACTGAAATTGGAACAACTTGGGGGCTGGATATATACCTCAGTGATAGACCACTTGCCTCACATATACAAGGTCCTGGGTTCAATCCCTAGCACTTGGGAAAAAAAGATACATTTAGCCAATGACCAGTCTTTAAAAATGATCTGTGAGAGCTAAGGACACAGTTTGGTAGTAAAAATAAATGAATAAATAATCAAAAAGTAATGGAAAAAATTAAAACCTTTAATTACATGCTTAAAGTTACTTCTCTAGCTGGGGAGAGATGAATTCCATTCTTAACATTTCTAATATATTTGCAGTAGTGAATGGCTCACTTCATAAAATAGTTCTTCATTTAAGCAAAAATAGCATCCGATGAGAAGCAATGTGAAGGCGCCCAGTGGAGAATGCGCCCAAGTCCAGCCACAGAAACCTCATTTTGAAAAATACAATGCGTTCTTCATCCTTCACTGGAATATATTTCTTTAAAAACAACAGGCCAATTCATTTAGACCAGATAGTCAGTAGCCCCCAGAACAGTTGCGGTAGAGAGCTCTTTGTACAAGAACATTCTCTAGAGATCTCAGGAAAGAAATCCATCAAAAGGGTTTTCTAAGCCAAGATTGAATTTCCAAAATTAGCTTTGCACCTTCCCATTCTCACCCTGAATTCAAATTCGAGATGTGACCCTCCCCTTCAAGGTCTTTGCCCCAGGCAGCAGTTTTAACCTGAGTTTCAGGTGGAGCCCTGAGTACTATGGTTAGAGGCAGCTTCATCCAGTGCAGTGGGTGTCACCTAGCAGAGCCAAGGGAATCATACTGCACGGAGTGGAAGGTGGAACATGAGTAGAACCAGACATCCCTGTCTAGAGTTCCTGAACAGGTGGCCTTCTAAGACATCTTACTTATGAAACAAGACCCTCACAGAGTCAGGATTAAGCAGGAACAGTGTGTGTCATGCTTAACCACTGTCCAGAGTTACAGGGCTTGTACAGAGCATGCCAACCATTGGGAAAAACCATACGGCTGTTGGAGGAACCTCCTCCCTTCATCTTGGCACTTAAGTGCCTAAGGCCACTTTGCTATACCACCTTCTCCTCAATCAATACACTGAAAACAAAGATACCCATCCCTTCCTTACAAAGGAAATCCATGTGCTCTGTAAAACACAGATGTTAGTGTAACACAGAATTGTCACTGTCCCTGATTTATAGGTAAAGTGCTATGTTAAGTTTCTGTCACTGTGACAATACTTGTGATGAATCAACTTAAAAGAGGAAGTTTTGTTTGGGCTCAGTTTCAAAGGTTTCAGTATGGTTGGCTGGCTCCATTGATTTGGGGCCTGTGGTGAGGCAGAAGGTCATGGCAGAACAAAGCTGTTTACCTTATGGTGGCCAGGAAGCACAGAGGAAGAGAAGGTCCCAATATTCCCTTCAGAGGCATGATCTCAGTGACCTCACTTCCTTCCATTCAGTCTAGCCACCTCAGTAACATTACACACTGGGGCCCCGAAGTCCTTAGTATGTGAGCCTTTAGAGGACAATTCAGATCAAAACTACAGCAAGCACCATTTTCCTTGCCAATTCAGAGAAGGCAGTGCCATTCAGTAGGGTATGTAGACCTCAAGCATTCTCCGGACACATCAGTCAGACCAGGCAAGGTGACCACTGCCATGGGAGAGAAACCCATACTAGCATCTTCAAAAACCATCTAGCATGACAGCCAGCCCTGCTGATACTTGACCACCTGCAACTGGCTTCTTCCAGCCCTTTCAAAACTAGGTCCACAGTCCTAAACAAGAATTTATATCACCTTCTGTTAAGGTTAAGGGAATACTGTGTCTAAAAAACTTGATTAATAAAGAAGTATAGCACATAAATAGAGAAAATTTAACATTATTTAAAAAGAAGGCCGGACGTGGTAGCACACGCCTTTAACCCCAGCACTGGGAGACAGAGGCAGGCTAATCTCAGATCAAGGTCAGCCTGGTCTGCATAGCAAGTTTCAGGCCAGCTGGGGCTACAGGGAGACCCTGTCTCAAAAAAGAAAGGAAAAAGCTAGGCCTAGGGCAAAGTAGTTCCAGGCTGAAGGCACATTTCAGGACACAACCATCTCTCCGCTTTTCATGTCCTATGACAGACAGGACTCTGCAAATCAGAGAAGAGCCTTTCCTCCTCTAGACAATCCTAGCCCTGGGACCTTAGCCCTGTCCTGTTCTCATAAGTGTTAAAGAGACGCCTCCAGTCTTCCATATTTAGGCTGTTTCCCTGGCCCCCAGGTGTGGTACTTAAGGATGGGAGTTGTACATAAAAATATGCACTCAGCCCCAGGCTTTATCCAGCACCGCACGGAGAAGGCAAGCAGGATTGGTTTCCTGGGGTGAGGCAGGTGAACAGAGGGTGGACTTTTAGGACTGGGGTCTCCGGCCACGTGAACAAACTGGCTGCCTAGACCTACTTGCAGTCAGGAAGCCTTGTTTTCAAACAATGCCTGCTTCATCCACACATGGCCCTCTTCAGAGTCAGCTTGCCTCTCCTCTGGCTTTGGAGTATTGAGTCATCTCTTGGGTTAATTTGTCATTTGCAGCCAGCAGGTTGTAGCCATGCTTTGTCATGGGAAGTTGGCTGGCTGCACATATTGGTGATCTTCCCCAACATAATGCACAATACTTGATTTGCAGATTGCAAATGCTTGGCACCCCACTTCTTTTACAATTAGGGAACAAGAGGGGTGGAGACAAATTCTTGGTGTGTTTAACTCAACCTTGCTTATCCGGACAGATTTTTCACCCAATTTAGTTCTGAGTGATGTCTTCCAACAGCTTTGAGCTCTGAGAAAAGTACACAAATAAAAACTGTGTGTGCAGACTGTGGTCTTCAAACACCAGCGGGGAGGGAAAGCAGATCACTGTTGTTAATGAAACAAGAGGGGTGGAGACAAATTCTTGGTGTGTTTAACTCAACCTTGCTTATCCGGACAGATTTTTCACCCAATTTAGTTCTGAGTGATGTCTTCCAACAGCTTTGAGCTCTGAGAAAAGTACACAAATAAAAACTGTGTGTGCAGACTGTGGTCTTCAAACACCAGCGGGGAGGGAAAGCAGATCACTGTTGTTAATGAGTGTTCTCCAAGGGCCAGACAGACAGTGGG